TGACGATTTGGAAAGACATCAGAAAATTCATGCGGTTGAAAAGCCTTTCTCGTGCGATAAATGCGAAAGATGGTTCAGTCGATGCAGCGATTTGGAAAGACATCAGAAAGCTCACACGGATGAAAAGCCTTTCTTGTGTAGTGAATGCGGAAAATGCTTTAGTCTAGCTTGTAATTTGAAAAGGCATCAGAAACTTCACACGAGTGAAAAGCCCTTCAAGTGCAATGAATGCGGAAAATGCTTCGATCAAGTTGACAATTTAAATAATCACCAGAAAGCTCATACGGGTGAAAAGCCTTTCTTGTGCGATAAATGCGGAAGATGCTTCAGTCAACGTGGAGATTTGAAACTTCACAAAGGTCCAGGCGAGAAGCCTTGCCAATCTGTTGTCTTCAAAAACCCGTACACCTCTTTTTGTTTGCGGAATAAACATAAAAAAGTGCTCAAAAATGAAAGTGAGTGTCAGCGTTCCTTGGCGTACCCTCGCATAGAGAGTAGTACTTCAAGTGTTGATCGGACGGGACATGCAACATTGCAGAGTAGAATGTGGAGCGAAGAATCACAGCAATGTCAAGGGAATTTGACCGACACTGATATCAACATCAGTTCCATTATGTTCTTTGCGGGTTTGTAATCGTTGATAATTTCGTTCATTGATTTGTAAGAACAGCAAAATTTTTAAAAATTTTAATGAATTAGTAATTTAAACAAACAACTAATATTAAAATAAATCAGTAATAAAAATATTACAAGCTTACTTTAATTTCGAATACTTTTATACATTTAAATTTGTAGAAGTATAGCTATAGCAAAAGTGTGTTATTTCAATCCATTGTCAAAGTTTATTTTGTTGAAAACATTACTTTCTTTTTGAAGTTTTCGAAAGATAGTGCTGTTTCAGAGCTGCTTGAATCTTAGTTGAATAATAAAATGTCTTTTAATGGTTTTGTTGGCAGAAATTGGTCGATTACATTGTTGAAAAAATCAGTGTTTCAGCCAAAAGTAGCAATCATTCAGATAGATTTCATATTTTTTGAATGAAATCAGTCCTGAAATCTGCCATTCATTTCACTATTATCTGGCAGATGAAATTTACTAAATTTGAAAAAACTTCAGACAATCTTTCAGTTCATAGAAATTTATCAAAAGTGTTTAGAACACAATAATAATGAAAATATAGCATTACAATCTGAATCCTCACCAGATCCTGCTGAAACAAACTCCTATTTATCCTTATTTTTCTCTTCCTAATCTTTTCCAGCAAAATGATTGAAAACGTACTCTACACGCATAGTTCACATGAACGTTTATACAGTCGAAAACATTCATGATATCTAAAATCTTGATCATATATATCACTCAAATATGATTTCTTATAAACGTGTGATTCATGATATCTAAAATCTTGATCATATATATTATGTGAATAATCATAGTACACAATATTATACATACGTGAAATTCGAGTCACATCTGTCGCATTGTTCGATTTACATACTTTGCGGTGATCAAAGTTTAAATGATGGTTTCGAAGAAAAATTGGCATCGGTGACGGAAAGGCGACTTTTGAGAGAAAAAGATGCTTGAGTCTCACAAGTGAATCTTTTAAACCGATTGGCAACTGCGTGACAAGGTTCCCAACAGTATTTCATGATTCAGTTCAGTTATCCCAACTTCATGTCTTTTTAATCAGTTCTTAATTAGCATGAACAATTGACAGGAAAACTGGCTCAATAAATATTCATTATTCAGCGAACTTCTTTTTCGTTTTTTTTAATGTGCTAAACGTAATTTCAAATCATTAATCGTTTACATACCAAGATTTTTTAAAATCAGTCTAATGTGAAAAGTTACAATATCATCACTAAGAAAGAAGTATTTGGACTGGAAGGAGGCAACTTTTTGTTGTTGAAAAAAAAACGTTTTTATTGGTAGTAAAGGATTATGTATAATTGTTAGTTAACGTTTGTTCAACAATGCGTGAAATAGAAATATGTTTGATTGTTTATTTAATATTTCATCCTGAAAATTTAACGTTTTTTTATCACGTTAATTGCATAATCAACCGAAACCTTTGGTCTTTTGAGCATTTTCCGACCAATATTTGATTTCCGTAGATGTGCTATAAAATGGCAAATCAAGTACAATAAATTATCATTTCATGTTCTTACATCAATTTTGTTTCTTCCCTTCATTTTAAGTTGTGATAGAATTAGGTTTTGAATTCTCAATCACACTTTAGTTTCATTTACTCGTAATTCAAGAAAACAAACTGTTTAACTTGGTGTGCTCAATAGTAACTCACAATTACTTGACGTATTTTAACAATTTCAACTAAAACTGAGAACAGCGAGTGTCAAATCACTCAAAAAAAAGTCTCTTTTGCCAGAAGAACGTTTCGGAGACATCTGAAGTGTCGGAAAAATAAGATAAAAGCTGCTTGCAGATAATGTAATATTTTGCTTTCAGATACAACACAATATGTATCCTCAGATCTTTATAGTTACTTTCACTTCTTGCCTGTTACTTAAACTGAAATTCGCAGAGTCCACGGTAAGTATATACGCCATCAAATTCTAGTTTTTGATCTGATCTAAATTTAGGAAAATAAAGGTTTAAATAATGATTACAGAGAAATGAAACAACTCGAAAAGAATTGCGAAAAACAATCAGAACCGAAAATGGCATACAACCCTATAATTACACAAATATATCACATACCAATAAGAACAAGCTAAGGAAAGATGGAAATTCAACAAGTATGGACAATATTCAGCAATCTCGACGTTACTGTTCCAGGAAGAAACCAAGTAAGCTGAATTCTGAGTGCAAATTAAAAAAGCATCGTGGAGCAAAGCAGTTCCAGTGTGAAACTTGCTTGAAGAACTTCACGACCAAAAATATTTTAAACCGGCATTTCTGCTCACATACCAGTGAAAAGTCATACATATGCATTGTATGTGAGAATGGGATCATAAGTTCTGGTCATTTAACCGCACACAAGCGTATATATGCTAATGAGAAACCATACATATGCGATGCATGTGACAACGGATACAGAAGTTTTAATAATTCAAACACACACAAGCGCAAACATACTAGTAAGAAGTCGTACATGTGCGGTGTATGCAAGAAAGGATTTAGAAGTTCCAGTAATTTAAACACGCACAAGCGCACACATACTGGTGAGAAGCCACACATATGTGATGTATGCAATAAAGGATTTAGAAGTTTTGGTCATTTAACCGCACACAAATGCATACATACTGGTGAGAAGCCGTACATGTGCAATATATGTGAGAGAGGATTCGGAAGTGCCAGTAATTTAAACACGCACAAGCGCACACATACTGGTGAGAAGCCACACATATGTGATGTATGCAAGAAAGGATTTAGAAGTTCTGGTCATTTAACCGTACACAAGTGCATACATACTGGTGAGAAGCCGTACATGTGCGATGTATGTGAGAGAGGATTCCGAAGTTCCAGTAATTTAAACACGCACAAGCGCACACATACTGGTGAGAAGCCACACATATGTGATGTATGCAAGAAAGGATTTAGAAGTTCTGGTCATTTAACCGCACACAAGTGCATACATACTGGTGAGAAGCCGTACATGTGCGATGTATGCAGGAAAGGATTTAGAAGTTCTGGTCATTTAACCGTACACAAGCGCATACATAGCGGTGAGAAGCCATACATATGCGATGTATGTGAGAAAGGATTCGCTAGTTCATGTAATTTAAACTCACACAAGCACATACATACTGGTGGGAAGCCATACATATGTGATGTATGTAAGAAAGGATTTAGAAGTTCTAGTGGTTTGAACAGACACGCGCACATGCATACTGGTGAGAAGCCGTTCATGTGCGAAATATGTGAGAAAGGATTCGCAAGGTCTGATAATTTGAAAACACACAAGCGCGTACATACCGGTGAGAAGCCAAACATGTGCAATGTGTGCAAGAAAAACTTTACGTCTTCTAGTCTTTTGAATCAACACAGGCGCACACATACCTGAGAAAAACCGTATGTCTGCAATACTTGTAAGAAAAGTTTCACAAAAGACGTATATTTGAAGAAACATGAATGTGCACATATGGGATGAGAAACATTCGAATATGGCATAGTTAAAAGTGCTTTGTGCTTCTGAAAATCAGAACAAGCACAAGTACTGCGAATCCAAATCATATTACCGTGCTTGCTGGATGAATTTGCAGTTTGCGAGGACTTTCCAATCATCAAAAATGGAATTCACCTCAAAACGTTTTGCGTTTATTTTTGTAAAAATCTGCTTCTTGCAAATCCACTACATAAATGTATTCTGAAAAAAATTTAAAGAAAATGTTTAATCAAAATAAATGAGATTCAATTTTCATGTGAAAATGAGAATGACTTCGAACAAAACTTTATTTTCGCTGTTTTTTGTGAGATTTGCATGTGGTGAATAGATAGTAAAGGTAAACTTCTGATCTGTAGTAAAAATGTGTTAGTTTTCCATTCAACACTCGAGGTTTTACCC